TACCCAGGTAAAGGAAGGAGAGTGGACATCACCAAGAACAATTCTGTTGGAAGGAGTTCCAATTCATGACTTTTTCACAAAAAATCCTGCAGCACTGCGCGAGATGATCATCAATTTCCAAACAAGACACAATGATGTGTTTGTTGTGACTTATCCGAAATCAGGTAAAGAAGCTTGACCTGCCAATGTTTTGTGTTTATGACTGAATGATTAGGTAAGTAAAAAGAAGTAATAATTTGCAATGCATTTTTATTCAAGGGACAACATGGATTTCAGAGATCCTTTGGCAGGTGTATAATAACGGCGCAGAAAGTACAAAAATGATTTTTGACCGAGTTTCGTTTTTGGAGCGTGACCGTGCTGATGTCACAACTCTCCCCAGTCCACGGCTTCTTCATTCTCATTTGACCCACGATGTCATTCCTCAAGGAGAGGGCGATGACGAAAGGTGCAAATATATTTATATTGCACGGAATCCTAAGGATTTGGCTGTGTCATTTTATGAATTTATGAAGGAACATGGTTCTCTTGCTGGGTATAATGGTCCATGGGAATTTTTTGCCAGATTATTTGCAACTGGGAAAGGTGAGTTTTACTTTTGCATGAATGGTAAGAATGGGACAGGGATTTTTCCTAGAGGCTAAAAAGAAAAAGATTTTGGAACATTTCCAGAAATTAAGTGTTGATGAAACAACTGTGTTACCCACAGTATGCAAGTCAACCAGGAAGATGTATTTAATAACTCTTTTACTCCCACGATTGACCAAGAGAGAATTTCCTCTTACAATATCGATATAATATCTAGCAGACAACAACTGAGAGTTAGGGAAAATATCTGTTAGGGGATTATCAGTTGATCTAAACCAAATTCTCTGAAGTTACATCATCAGAATTATGTGACAGATAATAAGAAGAATTATTAGTGAAATTTTTGGGTGAAATGGTCAGAGTGAACTCGAAAACCTTTTTGGATGAAAAAATCTGTCCGTGGGTTCGGTATATAGTTTTTAAAAGTTAAGCTACACAATTTAAGCATAATGTCCTCCCTTCTCCTTCCTTCCCCTCTGGTCCTTACTTCAAATGTACTTCCCTGTTCTGCCTGCATGTTTATTCTCTGGCATAATGTAGAATAAACAAATTAAGCTGTGGATGGGTGTCATCATATTTTGAAGAACAATTTAATTTGTAATTGTTTTATTCCAGTGTCGTATGGTCATTGGAGTGATCATGTGTTAGGCTGGTGGAGGCACAGAGATGATCCTAATGTCTTATTTCTCAAGTATGAAGACTTGATTAAGGTTAGATTGTAATTTATTGTGTTCTAAAAAATTCCATTTTTACATGTATTTATTCAACAATCAAGTTAAAGTAGGTTGATATCAGATAGTGTAAGATTTTATTTAACCATCACAACAGGTTGGGGTCTGCCAGTCTTCAGCCAAAGGTGTCTACTTACCAGGTGGTTTCTTTAGCAACAATTATAAGCATGCT